AGATTAAAGCGCTTGCTTAGGCAGACACAGGGACCAGGAGTTCAATCCCCAGGCCTGCTCTGGCCACAAAGTGAGCTCAAGGCCAGTTTGAACTGTGTAGCAAGACTCTGTCTCAAAAACACACAAAAAAAAAAGTGGGCTGGGGAGATACTGGCATAAGCACCTGCCTGGCAAGCACAAGGTCCTGAGTTCAGTCCCTGGTACAAAAATAAATAAATTCCTACCTAAAGATTACTTTTACTAATCAACATGAGAACACTAAAATTTTTCCTTCATTATTTTTGGCAAATTTTCTGCTTTCTTTAGTTCTCAATTTTTCAATGTTTTATGCCAGAGGAAATATTCTTCCTCAACTATACAAACTGCTAATAAATTTTAATCCCAATTATTTCTGAAGTACACAAGTGCCTTCCACTAGCACACTATTTTCTCTTTTTCTTCCCCCTCCCATTTTGGCAGTACTGGAATTGAACCCAAGGCCTTCACACTGAACTACAATCCAAAGCCGTAAGCATCTAACTGCTAACTTGCTAAATTGCCCAGGTTAGGCTAGAATTTGTGATCACCCTGCTTCAGCTGCACAGAATGCTGGGATTAAAAGCATATACCACCATACCTAGCTGTTTTCTTTCTTTGACCAAAACAGTTAAGACATTTCTCTGTTCTAAAAAGTAATAACATGAAGGCGCTTATGTCACTAAGCTATTTCCCCAGCAAAAAAAAAAATAAATTTCAGGGTTGTACATGGTGGCACATGCCTATAATCCCAGCACTTTGGAGGCAGAGGCAGGAGGATTGCTGCAAGTTTGAGACCAGCCTCAGCTACCAAGTGAGCTGAACTGCATAGTAGAGACCCTGTCTCCAAAAGATGAATGAATGAACGAAAAGGAAAGGTAAAGAATAGAATAGAAACTAAAAGACTATTAGAACTCCAAGTCAAAACACTGTTTAGGATTCAAGTTTAAGGTAAACATAGTTCCCTGTATTCCATTTCTGTTATACAAGTTTCTGAAGCTATTAAAATATGGAGTTCCTAATTAAGTCAATTAGCCTATTGCAATCTTAAATTCAAATTATATTTGTGTATATATAACATCTTATGATTCATCTTGGGGCCACATTTTTACTATCACCATTCCTTACTGCCAGATTCATAAAATTCTTAAACGACTCCAAAGGGCTCCCATTATAATTCTACCCTCATGCTTTTCTTCTCTAGAATGCACTCATATTCCACACCTTTCCTTGTCACACCCAGTGCACATTAACTTTTCTGTGTTCTGCTGTCTCTGCCTGTGTGTGGCATCAAGTTTATGCAATATATTAACCTGCGCTATTATTATTAAAAGATTATAAAGTTTTTCATGAGAATTTGTTTGAGACAGGATCACAGCAATCTGCATCAGCCTCCTGAGAATTTGTGATTTTTAGTTGGGTGTTTTGTTTTGTTTTCTCCGGAACCGGGGATTGAACTCAGACCCTTGCGCTTACCAGGGAAGCGCTTATTCCACTGAGCCATCTCCCCGGCGAATTTGTGATTTTTAAACAGCATCTCAGAATTCCCTAAGTGGCATATGTCTATAAGCCCAACATTCAGAAGGGTGGGACAGGATGATCTCTAGGAATTCAAGGTCAACAGGTTCTAAAAGCAAGTTCAAGCCAGCCTGCACTAGATAGTGAGACAGTGTAAAAGACAGAGACAGAGAGAGACACACAAGACACACAGACATGGACAGATGGACAGACAAGACAATACAGAGACAACACTGGAGAGAAAGAACAGTGGCAATTCACAAGTATACCTCACCTCAACCACCTGGTTATTTACCTATTTGTGATGTAGATCCAATTATAATTTAATGCAGTTTAAATTAAAAATTAGTGTAGTCATACAACCATTAGAAAATTTATGTCTGGCTTAGATATATGCCTCAAGGCAAATGTCAATTAAAGCTGCAATTGTACAGTTGTAATGTTTCATTATCTGATAAATATTCTTATCCTGAAAGTAAAGCAAATAACTCCCTGTAGCCAATCCAATTTTAAATGGTTAACTTTTTAACCTAATCGGTGGATTTTCATTAAGGGCATGCCATACACTGGAATAAATAAGATCTTCTCAGCCTATCTGGTACTTGTTACTTAAAAGTATCCTTTACAGTTAGCCAAAGTGGCCCATCTATGTAATCCCACCTACTGAAGGAAGCCAAAGGCAGGACTGCAAGTTTGAGGCCAGACTTGGCAGCTTAGTGAGATCCTGTCTCAAATTTTTTGAGTTGGAAATGAGCAGGGCATGACAGTAGACCACTGCAATCCCAGCAGTGAGAACCTGAGAGGAAAATCCCAATTTTAGTACAAGCCTGGGGAACTCAGCGAGGCCCTGCCATAAAATTTAAAAATTATAAAAAAGGCTGGATGTATAGCTCACTTGAAAGGCCCTGGGTTCAACCCCCTGTACTACTAAAAATTTAAGGGAGGGAGTTTGGAATGTAGATAAAAATAGATTTTAAACAGTGTATGGTAAATTACAATCAGAAATTTCTTTTTTCAGATTTTTTTTCTAATTTTGGCAAATCACTTTATTCCTTATCTCATTATGCACAGCATAGCCTCCTCTACCCAAGAGCACTGAATACTATTTTACTCATTCAGTAATTAATTCTATAGTTACAAATCTAAAGCATACTTTTGGAACAATATATCTAAGGTTCTTTAACTACAATTAGGTGGATTCTGTTGTATGATAATCTCATAAAGAAGCCAACTGACCCAAATCACAAACTGAGATGCAGCTACATTAACTTGGAAAAGATGAAAGTTCCTCAAATCTCCATAACAGTGGAAAATAACTTTCCCAGCTCAGATGAAATCTCCACAAGACATGGTATAAAGTGTAATATTATGAAATGTACTAATCCTATTTGGTATTCCTATGCAATCCTATTTAGAATTTCTCTGTGGCTACAAATCCATAAAAATTAAGCACTACATCACTTACCAGCTTTTGCAATTTTCAAACCATGCTGAAAAAAAGTACTAAAAGAACAAAAATATTGGGGCTGGGGTGATAGCTCAGTAGAATAAGCGCTTGCCTGGCAAGCGCAGGGTCCTGAGTTCAATCCTCAGTTCCACAAAAAAAAAAAAAAAAAACATAAATACTGAACAAATACAGTAATAAACAACTTAGGAGAATTTTTCCCCCCAGTCCTAGAAATTGAACACAAGATCACATGTACACTATTCAAGTACTCTACACTGAGCTTATCCTTAGCTCCAATTTGGAAGATTTCTTTAGTCAGGACTGGCCTTGAAATTGCTGATGGAGGCCAGGCTAAAATTCTCAAGTCCTTTCACTTCAATCCCATATGCTGGGATTACAGGCATGAGAATTCCTTAAGATGTGGTCTAGAACGTTCATGCAGATAGCTATAAACCAAATTTCATCAGAAACTACCCTGAAAGATCATTAACACAGACAACCCTACATTGGACCAATTAACTTATTTTAGATCCCTTTAAGTTATGTATTTGGTCCCACTTTTTGGATATATTGATTCAACAAGTATCCAGCATTCACAAACTTCCACTTCCCAACCCCCCTATTCAACTAACTCAACTTAACTGTAAAAGGCTGCTTCACTTAAAACCTAAATTTTGCCTTGACATTATGACCTTGGGACAATCTACCAAATGAAGGCTATAATGATGCCTGTGTATTACTACCTGTGAAATGTAATCCTAGCTTGGTAACAATAGTAAAGTCCTCCAAAGTGAACCTATGGAGCTGATAGCTTTTGAGCTATAAATAACTGGTAACGTAAAGTCATTCAGTCAATTAAAGGGAATGAAAAAAAAAAAACCCATGAAGACCCCAAATTCAACATGTTCAAAAATTCTGAAAAACACCAAACGATTGCTTACATGAATGAAAGAAAAAGGATGTGTAAACCTAGCCTTAACTTGTCATTTTCCTGCTTTTGTAAGGATAACCGATGGACCGCTAAATAAAAACGTAAAACTTGGCAATGAATGGTCAGCCAGAATATTAAGCAACTGCAATCTGAAAAGTATGTAGATAAATCTAACATTTCAAATCATTAACTTGTATACCTAGTTAGAGCAGTAATCTTGTTACTGCTTTACTAGCATCAGAAAGACAAATCCCTGCCTTCAAGGAACATCTGCATACACTTCATTTCAGCATCTTAGGAAAGTTTATTAGAAGTATCTCTTTAGGAATCCCTAAAGTGCCCTAAAGTGTTTAGCATCATTTACACATCTAGCTACCACTAGGGTGAGAAGTAAACAAACACGATTTACTTATGCAATTATATGCCACAGACTTCTGGTCAAGAATGCAAAAGCAAACACTGATACAAGCATTTAACACTCAAAGAAAAAAGAATATTAAGTTTATTAAGATTCAACCTTGACTAACTACGATGGAAATCAGACTTCCCACTTTTCTAGAACTTTGATCTGGAAAAGTAACAATGTCAACTCAACATTTTAACAGTACAGAAGGTGAACACAACTCAATAAAATCCCTTCTTCCAGATTCTCAAAAGATACTTGTAGGAACTGAAACACAGCAACCCCTTCCTAAAGGCATCCTAACAGAAACACTGAAAGAATCAGGTGGGCCAAGGGAATCAGAAAAAGTAATCTTCTAACTTACAGACCCGGAGGGACCACACCGCCGGTGACCAGAAGATTGGGGTGGGGGTGGGTAGCAAAGTGAAATCTAACCCCAGAAATCACAACACAGGCCTCAACCCAAGCGCCGAAGCTGGCGGGAAGTGAGCTCCCATTCCGTTCCCTGGGAAAAGTCCAGAGAGGAGCGGCTACGAGTGAACGGACGCGGCGCCAAACAGTGCCTGCCTACCAGCGCGTTGGAACCACTGAGCACCGGCGGAGAGCGGGAGGAGATCCGGCAGGCGGCCCTGCAAGAGGAGGACTAAGGTTGGCGGCAACGGCAACGTCTGGACGAAAGGGATTACCTCACTATGACGACAGAGAAGTGTCCTCAGGCTCCGGCGATGGTCCCGACTGCGCAATGTGGGGTGTCCTTCCCGCTTAGCCCTCAGCAGCAATAGACCCAGCTCCTTCAGCCAGTCGCCATTTCCCGCCTACCGACCTGCTGCACCGCACAGACAGGGACCCGGATGGAAAGCGGCCTCCCCGCGCAGGCGCTCTGACTTCCTCCTCCCCCTCCCGCCGCAATTCAGCGAAGTGGGAGGGAAGGAATGCGGGCGGCAGCAGAGGGAGGGGTGGAGGAGTGGAGGGGCGGAGGGGGGGGTCGTCCTTTACTTCTGCATAAGGGTTGGGTTTCTTGACGCCCAGAAAAAGTTGCGAGTCCAGATTCTTGACAAAAAATGAAGAGAGCGCCTTAGGACTGGGTGGAAACTAGGAAAGACAAAAACCTATCAGGATACGCCAGGGCCTGGGGGATATTTGTACTTTAGGGGCTTCCGTAGCTGGTCGTGTAGTGGTCGCAGGGGGAGTAGGGAGTAAAGCGTTAGGATTGGAGAGGCGGGGACGCAAAGGACGATTTTTTTTTCCCTCGCTGTTAACGGAACTGCTTAGGGCCGAGGTAGGAGGGGGAGCGCGCCCTGGCCCCAGAGGCGGGGCTTAGGAACTTGTTGGCCCCGGGCGGCTAAGGTTGAGTGTGTGTGGGCGCGCCAAGTGGGTGGGGCTGAGGTGGACGGGGCGGGACTTCAAGGGTTGGCGCGCTGGAAGAGGTCGCGCGCGGAGCGCTCCCCGAGGCTGCAGCTAGGCGGGTCTGGCTTCTTTCCTGGAATCTCGGGCCTCCTAAGAGTCCTTTCTGCATCTGACTGTCTAGAAAGCAGAGCACTCGCTTCTGGATCAGTGATACAAATTCACGTCCTTGCGTTGCTCGCGGTGTCGGCGGTATGCTGTGGGGTGAGGACTCGGAGCGTTTAGGTAAAGGGACTCCCACCTGAAAATCTGGCTGAAAGGGAAGTCAGCTCCCCAACGGCGAAAATGTATCAACTATCGGGAAAACAAGCCTCGTGGCGGGGAAGTTATCTTTGGACCAAAACTCCAGACCAGTGTCATTTCGATATGCAGACACTGCCTACCTCGCACTAAGAGTCTGGAAGACAGACTTTAAGATAAGATTTAAAATGAGATGACCACAAAGTGTGAAATGACAGGCGTCATTGGAGCACGCGACAGTGCTCTGAGAAGTCTGGTAAGGTCGCATCCACGTGAAACAGGAGTTGGAGTTCAAGCTTGTCTAAAAGCCCACCAACAGCTTGAGTTGAGCCAGTAGAGAAGTAGTTCTGAGAGCCAAGGGAAGAGGATTTGGAGTCTGAAAAAGTCATTGCCGGATGAGGCTGAGAGGTTAGCCTACATAACAGCCCTGGGAATATGATGGTTTCTAATTCAAAATGAAGAGCAGGTAGGCTATGAAAACCTGTGATAAAGTGCAATTACTTGATGGCAGTGGCAATCTGAAACTTCAGATGGTTAAAACTAAACAATTTTTTTCTAAAATTTGCTTCTGCCTCAGTGTTCGCCATCTTAATGCTGTTATTCCATACCCTACATCCAGTTTATTGGAAAGCATAATAAACTTTCAAGATATATTCAAGCCATCCCATATCCTTACATTCCACATCAACCATTTTAAAAAAAAGTATGACAGCTATCCTCCTGCTAGATATCTTCCCCAAAGAGCTTAAGACATCATACTACAGTGATACATACATACCAGTGTTTATAGCAGCACATTTTTTTTCCTTTTTTAGATAGCATTACGTTACGCAGCTCAGGCAGGCCTTCAATTCATGGTGTTCCTCCTGCCTCAGCCTCCTGAGTGCTGGGATTACACCATCACACCCAACCTATAGGAGCACAATTTTTAATAGCTAAATCCTGGATACAGCCGGTATATCAGTCAACACATGATTGGATAAAGAAAATGTGGTATGGAATACTATTTGTATTATTACTACTATACTACTTGTAGTATTCCATAGATTTGAGACATTCCAGGGAAAAAATGCACCTGGAAAATACTGAGTGAAATAAACCATACACACAAATTGAAATACTGCAATGCTATCTCTTATTTGAGTGAGACAAAGTATAAACAGAGAGGCCTGGGGGATATAGCTCAGTGGCACAAGGCCTGCCTGGCAAGTAGAAGGTCCTCAGTTTGATTTCTGGTACAAAAAAAAAAGTATAAACAAAGACAATAATAAAAGATGGAAAGAAAGGGACAAGGAGATAAATATCTTACAATAGAGAAGTGGCCTAAGTGGAAAACTTAGGGGTGAAGAGGAAGGGAAAGGAAATAAATAGACTAAAGATATGCCATGTATAAGAACCTAATAACCTTAGTTAATGTAAACATATCCCATAACATGAACTAACATTATTAATATCAACAGTAATGAAAAATGGTATAGGGAAATTGGAGGAGGGAGGAAGGACGGGAAAGGGATTTTAAAAAGAAACAAGTGTTGTTTTGTACATGTAACCATTCTCTGAGAAAATTGTAAACTGCATGAACTGCAAATATGTACTAATAAAATTTAAATTTAAAAAAGAGTCTCACCTTCATTTTAAAAACAGCCCTCTTAGGGCCTTGGAGATAGCTCAGTGGCGCAAGTGTGAGGTCCTGAGTTTGATCACTGGTACAAAACAAACAAACAAAAAAAAAAAAAAAAAAAAAAAAAAACCCAGTCTCCTTAGAGCTGAGTTTGGTGAGCCAGGGAGATAGCTCAGTAGAATAAGTGCTTGCCTGGCAGGCACAAGGGCCTGAGTTCAATCCCTGGTTCTGCCCAAAAAAAAAAAAATTATTTTTTTTCTTTGAGACAGGGTCTCCCTATATAGTTTGTTTATTTGGGGGGTTTTTGGGGAGAAGGGTCTACAGGGTGTTCAGGGTCTCACTACTAGGTCACACTCGTAGTGATCCGCCTATTTACAGCCTCCCAAGAGCTGGGATTATAGGCATGCCACCATGCCCAGTCTCAGTTGCCATCTCAGTGTGCCCCGAGGGTTGGAGCTGGGACAGCAGGCCGGGGGATTGAACCACCAATCCCTGCACCTGCTTGCAGGTGCTGTAATCTGCTGAGCTGTTTGGCTGGCCCTCCTATATAGTGTACACTGGCCTTTAACTCACGATGATCCTCCTGCCTCAGTCTCCCAAGTGTATGAATGAAGATGTGTATGCGCCCCCACACCTGAAAAAATATGTGATGGATAGGTTAACTATTTTGATATAATCAAAACATCGCCTTTACTCCATGAGCATAGACACTTGTTGTTTACCAATTAAAAATTAAAAAAAAAACTTAAAATATGAGCCAAATGTGACAACTCATACATATCATCACAGCACTCAGAAAAGCTGAAGCAGGAGAACCACAAATTTTATCCTAGCCTGGGCAATTTAGCAACATAACAAAAGCCTGTCTCAAAATTTAGAAAAGGGGGTGCCGGGGAAATAGTTCACTAGAATAAGCTCTTGCCCAGCAAGTGCAAGGGCCTGAGTTCAATCCCCAGTTCTGACAAAAAATTTTTTTAAAAAGGGACTGGAAATATAGCTCAGTGTGAAGGTCCTAGGTTCAATCTACAATACCACATATACACACCAATAAATTTGTGTTTTCATAATAAACAAATACAGGCTTTTTATTGCCCTTGTTCCCTAAACAATACAGTACTGTGTATAACAAGTTACATAGCATTTTACAGTATAACAACTATGAGTAATATAGAAATATTTCAAGTACATGGAAGAGCTGGTATGGTGGCATATGCCTATAGTCCCAACTACTCAGTAGACTGAAGTGGAAGAATGACTTGAGCCCAGGAGGTCAAGAACAGTCAGGGTAGTACAGGGCAGGGTGGCACACACTTGTAATCCCAGCACTTGGCAGGATGATGGAGACATAAAGGCCAGCCTAGGCTACATAGTGAATTTTAGAAGTAGCCTGGACTGCACAGCAAGACCCAATCTCATAAAGCAAAAAACAAAAATAGCCTGACTAACATAGTAAGACCAGCTCAAAAAAATTAAAATCCAAGCCAGGTGTGGTGGTACACTTCTGTAATTCCAACTGCTTAGGCGGTTGAGGCAGGAGGCTTACAAATTCAAGCACAGCCAGGGCAATTTAGTGAGTGAGTGACACCCTGCCTCAAATTCCAAAATAAAAAAAGTTAGGAATGTAGTTCAATGTAAAGGATGAAGGTCCAATCCCCAGGAAAGCAAACATGAAAAAACAGTAAGAGATCAAGTATACAGAAGCAAGTAAATTATATACAAATAGTATGCCATATTGCTACTACATGATGAATTTGGCAGGGTTAATGCAGGCACTTGTATACAATTACCAGTGACTTGCAAGTGCACACTCAATGGCAAGGGGAAAGCAGCTACACTTACTGTTTTTGATTTTTTTTTTTTTTTTTTTTTT